ATCGGAAGTGACGAACGCCAAAGGAAAACACGAGTCATCTCTCTATATAACTGACTGATGTGACGAGTGATAACGGATATACGAGCGAATTTCTGCTCACTAATAATTGAAAAATGGGAAAGCGAGGCTAACTCCCGACCCGATTATACATTCCAAATATAATTTTAACACGGAGATCATTGCTACGATAGCTGAGTAATACAGGTTTCCTGAATCGGAAGTGAGGAACGCCAAAGGAAAACACGAGTCATCTCTCTATAAAACTGACTGATGTGACGAGTGATAACGGATATATTGGCGAATTTCTGCTCACTAATAATTCCTTCGAAGACCATAAAAAGTTGTTGTGTGAGATTGTGAGAGGATATCTGACAATTCATAAAAAGAATTGACTGCCACTAGATAAGAGAACACGAAAGAAAAACAGAAAAAGTCCGTGCATTACCATGTTTATATAAGGTATAGAATGAATATAAACAAGGGAATGTACGGACTATTTCTATTTTTCTCGTGTTCTCTTATCTAATGACATTCAATTACTTTATTAAATTGTTAGGTATCCTCTTACAGTCCCATATAACAACTTTTGGTCTTCAAAGGAATTATTAGTGAGCAGAAATTCGGCCGTGTATCTGTTATCACTCGTCACATCAGTCAGTTATATAGAGGTAGGACTCGTGTTTTCCTTTGGCGTTCGTCACTTCCGATTCAGGAAACCTGTATTACTCAGCTATCGTAGCAATGATCTCTGTGTTAAAATTATATTTGGAATGTATTTAACCAGCTCTATCACATATTTGATAATGACTGGCACCAATATTGTCCTTTAAGCTGACGATGTTAGCTTTTAATGCACCAACAATAATAGCACGACGAAACAAGGCATTTTTATGTTTTTTAATCTTTATTCCATTCGATAACAATCGCAGATTATTTTATTTTACCATATGCGAGCATATCCCAAGCACCCAGGTGGTCGAGATAACTTTACAAATTCATTTGCGTTTTGTATAATGGGAAGCTGGGTAAGTATAGCCTTGATTTTCCAGCTAATATTTAATTTTAGACCAATTAATTCAATTCTCCGTGTTGACCGAGAAAGCTCATCGGGCTTTTCCGACGTGTTTCCCCCTTGTCAGTGGAGCAGGATGTGGGGGGGGGGCTGGCGCATGCCCCTCTTCATTTCACTCCACTATGCGATACGATACATAAAGTATACAAGTACTATTGTTTTCTTATATATTCAGTCATGTGCTTAAATCAACAAACATGACAGATATCGACATTATAATAGACATGTACACTTTATAAACAAATGATTGTGAAATAGGAAACCGAGACATTGCATCGACCATTCATACGTATATTGACCATGTACATGTACACGGACACACAACAAATTCGAGAACAAAGACGCCATAGAGAACTCCTCTAAAAACCTGGAAACAGACTCTGAATGTTTGATGTCACCTTCAGCAAGTAAAATATAGGATAGTCTGATGACTGCGACGAATACTCAATAACCTACCTACTTTTGCTCATTTAAGTTTAATTTGAGCCAAATGCGTCGACAGTGCAACAAAAATATCGGCGGTAACTCAACACTGGCTTTGTTTTATAGTCGTAAATCTTTGTAGGCAAATGAGAATGACATCCTTCAAAAATAAATCAGCATTATATAAAATCACATTTAGGTTCCCTTGTTCGGTGATAATCTTCTATTTCTAGTAATGCAAAATTTGTTTTATTGTTTCTATAAAAGTTCAGTGTAGACATTATATAACCTAATTGACTTTAAGTAGATTATATCCGATATATCTGAGAAGAAAACAATAAAGTATGAACTTTAAATACTTTTATAGGAAATGACGTAATAAATGTCTTCCTTTCACGTCGGCAATGGTTCATACACCATAACCTATACTTGAATACAAAAATTAAATTCTAACAGATTTATGAATGATAACTATTAAAGGAGACTAAGGAGAATTCTTGCTTTTAACAATGGTTTGCGGTGTCCAGGTTTTGTCTTACTGCTTGAGGTGTTTTTGCATGTTTGTTTATTCCTATAGTTGTGTGTGGTGTGGTTTCCCTGCACTAACTATTGGTATCTTATGTGGAAGATTTATACTGGAACAATTCTAATCGATTATAATAAAGTCATAACTGGTATAACAATAATCGAATTTGCATTACAGAGTCAGGGAATGGATAGGTCGTACAATTAAATTAGTCTACAATGAGTATACAATCCATCCTGTCACGTACTATATCTATCTATACTAATATTTGTGACTGTCGGTTTCGGACAGTTAGTACTACTTTTAGTTCATGGCTAAACCCCTGCTACGTCCGGTCAATCGCTAGTGAAATTTTAAAACTACTTAATGATTAAAATATCACTAAATAAAAACAAATGCGACTTACACTTATTTCATAATAACCACACCCCATGGTCGTAGTCCCCTTTTAAATGAAATAATTCAAATTATGCTAATGAATACAGTGTGCTATGGGGGAAATCTTGCCCGGACAGCGATACTACGGCCTACTCTTTTATCGAATTTCAACTGTCAAGGGTTCTTTTACGTGCACGCTAATGGGACCTCGGGTATTCGTCCTATCCGAACGGCTATCAGTTTCATTTTAAGACAACGGTAGGAAATTATTTCAATTATCTATCGATTTAACGCTTGTTGTTAAAACCTCTCTTTAAAAATGTGTTTTATAAACTAAAGCCTTAGTTGAGTAACATATATAAACAATTTAGCAAAAAAGACATTGCAAATTAGTTTGTATATAACACCATAATTTTATCTATATGCCATAGTTCCTGGCATCTGGAAAATTTCCACATAATTCCTTTAAATATCAACTCAGTGCATTTTTGTAATCTACGTCTTGAAGACTATTTATAACAATTCTGCTATTGACATCGGAATCCGTCTTATACAGTTCCATTTAGAAACGGGTACACTCAAAGAATTTTACACAACACGCGAAGAGAACTGCAATATTCGGGAGAAGAAAACCCGGTTTAACATTTTAAAAACCGCCGAATCGCCTATGAGTTTAACAGATAGATATTAAAACATGCACACGCACTAATAGCTATTATAATTTCAAAGAGCGAGAGAGAGAGAGAGAGAGAGAGCGAGAGGGGGGAGAGGGAGGTTTAACGTCCACTCGACACAAACTTGTGATTTCGTAGGTGTCTTTAGCAATGTGAGGAAACAGGAGAAAGGCCATGGGGCCTTAAACCACTCGGTCATCCATCTATGATCTATGTTATTGAGGACATGAAATGGGGTTTAACCTACTGTTCTGCACAGACTGGGTAAATGAAGACAGTATCCATTCTTGAAGAAGCAGAAAGAATTGTCCATCTTTAGCTTTTATTGAACGTGTAATATTCTTATACACATTATATACATACATGTATATGTGGTTTGTATAGTAACGGAATTATTGGTGGGTCGTGGTGTGTGGCTTAAATTGATGAGATCTATTTAACATAAAATAATCAACAGTTGATATCAACATCTGACACCAAACTTGCACATCGAATTGATTATTAAACACTTAATTAAGAACACTAAATTGAAGATGGGCACACGCTATACAGTGTAGTCTGAGCGAAATTTTGCCCGGACAGCGGCGCTACGGCCTACTCATATCAAATTCCAAGTGTCACGGGTTCTATTACGTGCACGCCTATGACTACACGGGACCTCGGTGTTTTGTCCCATCCGAACGACTAGATAGATTTCCTTGCCAGGCCCTGCATCACTGACAAGGGGGGACACGCTCCCACTAAGGATCGTCTTGTAGTTAATATAACGACAATTTGGACATAGCATACTTTTTTGTACGTTATGTAGTTTTCATGACAAATTTTAAGAATTAGGAAATACCAAGAACATGTCGCGTCCTGGTATGTATATGGGTGTGTGCGTGCTATTCTTTATAAGCTATAATAATTTGATATCTATCTATCTATAGAGCACACACATAGGAATCTTAATGATCATATTAATAGAGTATATGACCTTTAATTATCTATTGTACAACTATCATATATCCCATAATATTCCTATAATATATACCAGTGTATATGAATATATCTATAGTGTAATATCTATTTACCTATCCATCACATTGAAACAAGTATTATTTACATCTATGATCAAAGTCAACATCTAATAGACATGTTTTGGGACTTTACACATAAATTCTTGGTATGTGTGAAACTAGTTAGGACTATAGTCTATTTTTATTTACAGCATACCACTAACTCAGGTGTGCTGTATGGTATATAGTATGTATGGGTGGTATGTTACTGTATGGATGTGCAACCTTAAGTACAAATATACACTAAACATTGCCGTATTATTATTCCAATTTGCAAACAATAAGGCAACATGATATATTTGTAATTTCAATAAATAACACACACTACATTTATCATCCTCTTCCATACTGCGTCATCCATTTCAAAATATTCATTCGCAAAATTACACAAATTAAAACTAAATAAGTATACTTCGTGTTCATACTTACATACATACATACATTCATACATACATACGTAAAACGAGAATATAAGAATTTTGACAGCTTGAAAAAGGTTTCTTAATTCAACGAGATGTTGTTATGTGACATCTATATTGAATACCGTTCGTTTATCCTTATTGAACAGATGTACGTAAATGAAGTGATTGCATGTCACTGATATAAGTATAAAAATATTTACTGATATACAAATCCCGTGTATGTATACAATATGTTCAATATCCGCTATTGATCCCGTTAAGGAATTAAGTATAAACATATAGACAGAGAACGCATGTCAAAAATATTACAGACGTGTCATCGCCTTTCATTCGACCGAATAAAAACGTAAACAAGGCCTCTCGATTATCGTAACCACAGTAATATCAATAATTAATGTCAGAATGTAAAAAAAGAAAACAAAAGTAGGTAAATCAATACAAACTTACCAGGCATTGTCTATTAAAACCCTAGTGGAGTCGTTAAATATCACCCACCTTCTAACATATAGCATACGTAGCTATTCCCTCTTTCCACAAGTAGATCCAACTTCTCGCTAACATCTGCTCTACCACTGTATGTATCTTTCCTGGACGGTACCATTTCTGTAGGGGTGGTCAGCTCTTCGTTTACCCCATCTGAATTTGATCAAACATTCACACGATGCAGTTAAACAGGAAAGTTTAAAACAATCAACTATTAACGATCACTTTGTCAATTAATTGATGAAAATGATCGAAGAAACAAACGTGCACAAGAAACCATTTTTGGTGGACACCGCAGAGTAAAACCAAAGCAGACGACAGTTGAAGCGTGTGTCAATCATTGATGTTCCCGACGTCTGGCGGGTGGCCAATCTTCACATCCCCACTTAAAACATCGAATTTTAAGTTTACAGCCGTGTCAATAAGGTTTTGTTGAGACAAAAAGACTAGAGGATAAACGAAGGTAGTGTAAGAAACTGAAGAAATAGCGAAGCCCTCTGTCGACTACTTGTACGTGTGTCCTATCAAAATTCCTGAGTAAAGCTGCCTCGGGTTTCAAACACTATAAAATATGTTCATCCTATTGTTGGAATAAGCCAACATGCGATATGCCTATTTGGCGAGGAATAACATACATTATTAACATTATGGAGAGATAACGTATTTGAATAGACTTGCTGCATTTAACATTTTTAGACGCATAACAACTTTTGATACAAGATCATGATTTTGACATTGGCCAGTACGGTTATGCCGAGTAGTTTGCCGGAAGCGACAGATCATGGAGATGTCTAATATAACATTGTGTCCAATGGACCTCAACGATGAATATGTCGTATATACCCCTTTATACCTCCCCAAATTTAGCACGTAGATCAACCAGCATGCAGATAAACAGGAAAAATATGAAAATTCCGAGAAAATCTCATCAAAAATAATGAATAAACTCCAGCCTTTATCATGGTTAAATCAAATCAAATATACAACTTCGTGTTCTGGGATACACATATAGATTCATAAAAACTCTATGGTACAGCAATTCAGCGTCTAAAAGTAGCAAAAAAGACTGTAAAAAGACAACGATGTTATAGGATCTTTTCCGTATTAAAGCTGTTCGATACGTGCTGCTGTATCCGTGTGCCGTATCACGTATAAAAAATACCCAGACATTGATGACGTCACACGCAATATCGATACGGACCAGGAATTTACGCTTGCCAAATGTCTCTAATAATAAGTACAACGGACCCTTTTTCGGTCGAGTTTTTAGTGGTCTACAGAAAAAGACAAATAGAAATGTGCCAACTTAATTATGAGTTTCAGAAGTGGGTCTACATGGGTGCCAATTTAGTAAAGATATCTATACTGTTCCACTTCTTAGGCAAAACTCTTGTACGCGACAAGAAGAAGGGTCACCTGTCCGATCTTGTGGGTTCCCCCCCACCCGGTTTCCTTCCGCTGTCAAAGACCCCTGCGCGCAAGGGAATACTCCCGAAATGACCCAGTTTGTGTGGAGTGGACGTTAAACCCATCTCGCTCTCTCTCTCTCTCTCAATGTGTGGTTGAATGGTGGTATAGACTGATCTAGTTCTATATTATAGTATTATAGTTCAACACCTGCCAAGGTCGACCATAAACCCGTTACGTTTACAAGTGAATTGTGAGCTGATTTGGTCGTTCAAATGTAGCTCTATTTTTCCTAGTTCAATAGTTGTTTCGAGACAGTGATTATAAACTTCTGTGGCATCTGAAATGCTGTGTGTATACATGTTGTTCGAGAAGCAGTAATATTTTGTCACAAAATTTTGCCCCGAAACTACTCAAAATCAACCGTCCTCATTAAACTCCAAGATGCCTTAAATGCAAGGGATATCAGATAGGTCTAATGGTTATTTCTATTATATTAAGTACACGGATATGTTGACAAAATCAAAGAGTAACAAAAATGGGCTATTGGAAGGACCTTAGTTTATAATTTAGACTACAATAAAGGTCAGTTATGCGTTTCCCCAAACTGTTCGTTTGTCCAAACCGGAAATAGCTTGTCTAAAGTACCATTAGCTTGTCTTGAATAGTTTTAAATTTTCGTGCAACCAGAACATTTTTTGTTGATCTGCAACTATTAAAAGCCCGCCGTATAAAACTGTCAATTAAATGACACACAGCTCTGTGAGAAATTCGTTTTTTAAGCACTGGGATGTTATTCCTTATCCGTTATAATGCTACTCTCACACAGGGACAGTGGCGTATATATGGAATGGCCTCGCGAATAAAATTCGTCACCAATTCGCAATGATCACAAGGTGCGATCGCCAGTCGGTCGTAGGTGTTCGTGAGAATTCGCGGTCTTTAATGGGGTGATGCGAATATTTGGAACATGCTCCCAAAATTCGCCAAGAAAGAATATTCTCATTGCTTTCACAATACTTTAGTAAGAAATTATAAGCCATTCATATTGCTGGCAAGGCATTTGTAAGGATTTCCTAGCATTCTCCTTCATTCGGCGGCGGCAGGCGACTACTCTCACACATTGGCGAATGTCCTTACATGAAAATGTGAAATTCGTGGCAAATTGGCTCAAAATGATACGAAAAAAATAAGGTCATACAAATGTTTATCAGTGCTTACGAATGTCTTACGATCACTTGGGAGCCATGGTGGCTCAGTGAGTAGGACGTTGGATCGCTACCCTAGAAGCCACATGTCCGATACCAGCGTTGGCGGGGAAGGTTTGTCGGGATTTTCAGGCGTGGTTTCCCCCTTGTTAGTTTGTCAGTGGTGTAACGCGGAGGGTCTGGCAAGTGACAACGTCTAGTCATTCAGATTATACAAAAAACGAGGTTCCGTATACACATTGGCGTGTACGTAAAAGACCCCTTGACAGTTGCGATTCGAAATAATAGTAGGCCATAGCGCCGCTGATCGGACAAAATTTCCCTCATAGTTCACCATATGGCGTATGTCCGTCTTTATTAGCCCAGTAGGAGCAGAACACTAAAGGGGGGGGGGGGGGCACGTGGCTAAGTGGGTAAGACGCTGGCTCACTAGCCTGGAGGTCGAGAAAGTTCATCCAGATTTTCCGGCGTGGTTCCCCCTTGTCAGTTATGCAGGACGGAGGGCCTGACAAGGACAGCTGTCTAGTCCTTAGGATGATGCGAAAAACCGAGGTCCCGTGTATATATTGGCATGTACGTAAAAGAACCCTTGACAGTTGTGATTCGAAATAAGAGTAGGCCATAGCGCCGCTGATCGGACAAAATTTCTCTCATAGTTCACCATATGGCGTATGTCCGTCTTTTTTAGCCCAGTAGGAGCAGAACACTAGGACATTAAACCCCATTTCATTTCACTTACGATCACTACAAATGCCTTGCCATCAATGAGAATGGCTTGCTATTGCTCACGACAATATTGCAAAAGTAATGAGACTATGTTATCATGGCGAATTATAGGAGTATGTTCCTAATATTCGCAACATCCCATGAACGACCGCAAATGCTCACAAACAAACACAAATATCTGGAGATCACTTTATGATCATCGCCAATTGATGGCGAATTGCATTCGTATAAGTCCATCCGTCGTCATATTCGTTACTGTGTAGCATAAGTGACAAGGCAGAGGTATGGGCAAGGGATTTTCATGTAATTCTCCGGGCCAATCTTATGATTTTAGGCCAATTTGCAGGGTATTTAAAAAAAAATCATATTTGCAAGGATAATCTTCACTGTGTGAGAGAAGCATAATCAAATCAAACGCGCTAAATGACTGAAATTATCAGAAATGGATTCATAATCCTCCTAACTTACTCAATGGTCTTTAACAGTGCTAGGACTATCTAGAAAAAAGTGCTAAATTTTGGATGTTTGGGTTTGGTCCGGTTCACTGATTTTAATTGCTTGGTATGCTGATCTAAACAACATGTCCGTCTTGAGTAGTATTGCCCTAATATAAATTACATAAGCGTTGACAACTATTAACCTGCCAGTGGGAGTATCAAATAACTTAACATTTTAATTTCTAAAATAAAAATCTCATTTCATATAAAGTCTTTGAAATCAGTTGTTTAGTCTTCCAAAAACCAAGTTTTATCATGCTGAGCTATTTTTGTACGCCCATATTTTCAAGTGGACGTGTATTGAGTCGCCCCTGTCAGTCCACAATTTATTTGTGGACACGCGGTTCCTTTTGATATTGGCATTTTATCCAATATTAAAAGCTGTTCTAACATATCACCATTCCACCCTTATGATGGTTGAGTTCGAATTTCATGAAAATCGGATTGAAACTGCCCGCTCCTCGTTCGCAAATAGTATAAAAGTATATAATACCAAGGTTGTGGACACTGTAGAAGTCACAATTTTTTTATCCTATTTTGATCAAACTTAAAATATATGTCTATATTCCACGGATTTTTGTTTCTTTCCATATTCGCACATATCGGTCTGTAACCTCCTAGATTATGGACCCCGGGTGTACCAAAAATTACAGTTTATACCCGATTTTAAAAACCGTTTAAATATACACCGTTACACCCTGGGTTTGAATTTTGTGATAATCGGATCGAAGGCTGTGGTCCCTCTAACAATTTGTATCCGGTTTTGAAAAAAACTTAATATTATATGTTTATGTATCAAAGATCTCGGTTTGATGTTCGCGTATATCGGGCCTAACTTCTTGCCTTGTGGCCCCTATTGTACGAGAAATTGTAAGAATAATACTACGAGTTCTTGATGTTGAAATTTACACGGAAATATTTATTTATGGCTAGGGATATGATATCATATCTTTCTTATCTAAATTATATCCTGGTTATATATATTATATATATCCTGGATATAATATATATAACCAGGATATAATTTAGATAAGAAGCAGGATCTAATTTAGATAAGACTGATATGATATCATATCCCTAGCCATAAATAAATATTTCCGTGTAAATTTCCACATCAAGAACTCTGTGGTGACAGAAATGAAATGAAATGAAATGGAGTTTTAACGTCCTACTGTTCTGCTCCTAACCTGGGCTAATGAAGACGGGCATACGCCATACAGTGTGCTATATGGGAAATTTTGCCCAGACAGCGGCACTACGGCCTACTCTTATATCGAATTCCAACTGCCAAGGGATCTTTTACGTGCACGCCAATGTGTACACGGGACCTCGGTTTTTCGTCCCATCCGAACGACTAGACAGCTTTCCTTGTCAGCCCCTCCGTCCTGCATCACTGACAAGGGAGAACCACGCCGGAAAATCTGGATGCACTTTCTCGGCCAATGCAGGGATCGAACACCCGACCTCCAGGCTAGCGAGCTAGCGTCTTACCCACTTAGCCACGTGATCCCCCTGTGGTGACAGAGAATATAAGTAATATTGTTATAATACATTATTAAAGGTGTACTGTTTTGTTGACATTGACAATAAATTCGCGTTA